CTATCAATCGGAGCTATGTTCATTATGACTTGAGCCCTGTTCTGCACATATTCTTATGGGTCTCAGGGCTCATATCTTAATGCACATAGTTCCGTTTGATAGAAATACATCCAAGTAAGCAACGTACGTGGAGTGCAATGACACTGATTCCGTGGTTAAATCCGTCCATTTTTTAAGTCGGATAAATTTGATCCCAAAAATATTTGATTCCCTTGAATACCTCAACACTTTTTTCGCTTAGTTTCAGTCCTGCAACCCCGGAAAATCCATCAACACCCGTACAAGTAAGGACCGACGGAGAATTTACACAAGTAAAGATATACATGAAGACTCCTAACGCTTCGCCGAAAAATCCGTTTCTCTAAGCTCTCGCTCGATAAGATTCTTCGACGCACATTCCGCTCGAGGAAGGATTGAGACACATTTTGAAATTTTTGCGTTTTTCCAGCAATTTTTGACATGTGTCATCCTCACTCAAAGGCAAAGATCACGGTAGACTTTCATTCGACAGTATAATCGGATCGCATCTGCTTTTTAACTTTCTTCTGTTTTTAACAATATTGAAAATATACTCAAGTCTCTAAATGAATTGATTTATTCATTTCATGAATTGAAATTTGGACCCGCCTTGTTTTAGTGAGTATTACTCACAAAATGTGAGTTTTTGTGAAAACGTTGTGTTTGTTTCGAAAAATTTGAGAGTAGTACTCACACAACTGATTTAAAAACTGATTTTAAAAACTAATTTCAAAAACTAAATACGAGGAGCTTGCAGTAAAAGGCGTAGGTATAAGTGCAGTTTTTGAAAAAAAAATGAGATATTAATGATTCCAAGTAAAACTAATCTCAATGCATATTTTGTGAAAAATCCGCTCAGAATTCCAATTTTTAAGCATGAAAATGTCATAAGCTAGTGCGCCTTCATTGCTTCCTGTATGCCACACGGACATCCGTTGAGCAGGTATAGTTGTATCAAAAGCGTTGTCTTTAATGTCCCATCTCATCCGGACATCTACTAACCGAGGGTCTAACGGATTAGCAAGCCCGGATGGGCCCTTCGTCCACAAAAATCCGAAATTAGGCTCTTTTTTGTGTATTCGATTTAGTTTTGCACAGGAAACACCAAATTCTGGAATTGGTGCAACATTTTAATGCTCCTTAAGAAAATCGGGGTTTTTGCCATACCGGAAAATGCAGCATTGAGTCTCATCATACCTAACTTGCTAAAATGGGTCTGTTGCATGCAAGCAGGGTCGGACTGGCTCACAGCTCAGGGCGTAGCCCCTCAGCCGGATAAAAGTTCGTAAAGTGATATTTCGACCCCCGAAACCCGGCGGTCCAGAAATTTCTTGCAAATCAGCACAATTTTACGCTATTTTCAGGTACGAAGTTTCTCAAGTAATCGCACGAAGCAAAAATTACAAAATTGAACAATTTTAATTAACCGGGAGACTTATAAAGTGAAAAAATAAAAAAAAAAAATGTATAAAATCAAAGCTAGGCACCAGACGCATCCATGTATCATTCTCTCCAGAGGAATCAAGCAAGAGCTTGCGACCTATGATACTGCTTTTAAAAACTAAAAGTCAAGAAATGATGCATCATTTTCGGGTTTTCGGGTTCATGAAACCCGAAAATATTTACGCCAAAAAGATCTTTTAACCTCATCGAAAAATGAAACATTCAATCTAGAAAGTACAATGTGAAATTTTGAAGGAGAGACAAGGTGTTGAGTAAGACAAGTAAATATGAAGAGATAGGAATACATGTATAATAAATGCACCAGAGATCTAAAGCAGGCTGCAGCAGGTTCCATTCAACAATCATTTTGTTGGTAACAACAATATTTTGGGACATCACTGAACATTTGAAGCCTAAGCTAATTTTGAAAGATTAAACATAACTAAATTTTATTAAAATTCACTGACTGATTTTGAATGGCTTCTTTTGGCTCCCCTCGTGAACACAGAGTTTTTGGCCAACAAGGTACAGTCATATTTTAATGATATTTTCATTAACCCTTACAATTGGATGCTGAAGCCCGGTCAAATTAACAGGTGACTTTTTTAAAAAACTAGCCACGCGAGTTGTGAAGGACCGCGGCACATACGAGCCGTAGATGTAGGTCTGTAAATATTTGTGCTTTAAAAAAATATTTTAAACCTCAAATTGAAAAAAGAAGACACCACAGAGAGAAGGAACAACAGAGTCGAGACGTAATCCACGGAAGAAAAAAGTGTCAGGGGTTCCCTAAAATTGTGATACCATACCCCAAGTTTTTGGATGATATGGACAATTCTAATTAATTGTAATAGTACCGCAACTCAAGTTAGGGTAGTACAAGAACAATTGGGTTGGTTACCTAATTTATTGGGGCACTACCATAATTAATTGGAAATGTCCATATCATCCAACAACCTCGTGCTTTTCTCCCCGTGTCGGGCATTTTAAATGGTTCTCTCGAATTTGAGCGACACCTCACCGACAGCATAGAAAGGAGCATTGCGAGTGAGCCTAGCGCCATCGCGCCTACAATTTTGCAGCTGCAACACGGACATCCATCATGTACGAATAGTTGTATCTCTGCGCCGTCATCAATGCGCCTCCTTTTACTTTGCTCTATTTACATACTGTGTTTGTTCCAGTTTGTCTTATTTGTATCTTTAGCGGTGCTTTTAAGACGTATGAGCAACACAGCCGTGAATAGGAGAGCCGTAATAATCGAGTCTCATTTCTTAACTTTTCTCACGACACCTCATTGGCAGCATAAAGCGGAGCTGCGGAACATCACGAATTCACAGCTCGCGCCATCGCGTCTTCAATTTTACAGATATGCAACAAAGACATCCATCAAGCACGAATAGTTGTATCTCTGCGCCGTCTTTCCATTTTCTCTATTTTCATATTATGTTAGTTTCGTTTGTCACATGTGCAGTGGTGCTTCAAGGGCCACGTGAGCAACACAGCCGAAAATAGGATGTGCCCTAATCAATTATCATTTTGAAAGTAAAAAAAAAATGTTAGAGGTCTCTCAAGCGATGAAAAGGGTGCACGTCTAAAAATTTACTGTGCTACCACTGCTACCTCGTCTGAGAGAGTGAAACATGGCGGATGAGGAAGGGTATAGTGATAATGCGTCTCTTTGTTACCAAAAAAGTGTAAATTTCGAAGGAAAGACTTTTTTTTACCGATCTTAGAAATTTTATGCATGGGTATTTTGATACTTGGCAAGAGTTCGAGAGCTAGTTTGATTTCCTCACTTACTGATGCTCATCATCTCCTTTTCGAAATCTATAATCAAAAACAATTTTCAGTGCCTCAAAGGTAATTTTACGACGGAGAGTGACCAATTTTTCGCGTAATAGCGATAGTTAAAAGCGTAAAGCCTAATAGCGGAAGTTTGCACACTTTATTTAATCGAATGTCTGCTAGAGAGTGAAATAATTGACATTCATTACAGCTTGATTAAACCAGTATGTCCCAATTTTTCACATTCTCTTCTTCAAAATATTGAGCAACGGATAAAATCTGAATTCAGCATATTAAAAAAAAAGACATCAATTTTCCAGCATTTTTGTAGGCCCAGGCACCTCTGAGGACTTCTTTCTGGTTTAGGCCTTGTCCACACGAGCGCGGTTCACGGAACTTATTTCGAGGAACTTGTTCCCAGAACAAGTTTTTAGCTGAGCTAAAACTTATTCCTCCAAAACCCGGAACTTCCCCCGTACTCCAAGCTTCTATATATGTTTCTTTTGATGTGAATTTGCTTGTTTTTGTTTTTTACGTCATTTACATATCTTGACATTTATTTTTGTTACTTTGGCGTTCGTAATGATCTATTATTTTGCAATAATTGTAGAGTTTTATTGAACTTCCGGTTCCAGTTCGGGCAAACTCGGGTAGACAGCATGCCTCGTTTCAAGGAATAAGTTCCGGGAACTGAGCAGTTCGAGGAATAAGTTCCGCGAACTGCGCTCGTGTGGGTAGGGCCTTATAGTTCCAGGACCTTCATTCACCACCATCAGGCGCACGAAGACGAAGACCTATCTTTACTCTTACACTCTCCTCTCCCGTTCATTTATGAATTTTCCGCATTTTTTCTTGGTCATAATTTTTTCTCTCATCTTATTTTGCTATATGTGGCAGAGGGGCGCGTCTTCGATGCAACAGGGGGGCGTATCTGCCAATAGCAGATTGGCCTTATGACCAGTCCGACTCTGCATGCAAGAGATACAGCCATAATAAACACACTCTAATAAGGTAAATTTGCACGAAAATTCCGTTGAGCGCATCAAAAAAGTCTGAAATCTATTCCTTGGCGCGCAATCTGCGTATAGTTTGTAACAAGCTTTTTCAAGTTTCCCGCGTCTGCGGGCAGTTTTTCTCAGTCACCGCCGCGCTGACCAGGTTCGCACAGGCAGAGGAACAAAAAATCTAACCGAGGTAAACAAACGATTTCACTTACTTTTTATATTGTATGATTTCAATCGTTTTCAAGCGATTGTTTCCTTTTTCTCTCTTCATCTTGCAAAAAAAAAAGCTTGGAAAGAATTGAAATCTTGCTTAAAGGAGTGGATTTCAGACTTTTTAGATGTGACCGACGTGATTTTCGAGTGAATTTACCTTTCAATAGTGCATTCAGTTGGCTGTATTTTTTGCGAGCAACAGACCCATTTTCCATGCTTGTAGTCCATTTCAGTTTTAATAGTGTTTCTGGGAATTTGGAGGACGACTCACGGTTCAAAATTCACCGAACAAATCCAATCAAGCTTAGAAAAAGCATAAAAAATTATGAACTTTTTCGGACTAGTTTAGGTAACCTCAATTACAGAATTGAAAATTGAAATTCCAATCTCATATCCGAATGCGTCAAACAGGACGGAAAAGTACTGCCTGCACCCGCCCAAATTTCCTCGTCATTTGCGTAGAGGAAACAAAGAGAAAGCAGAAAACGTTGACGTCAAGAAACGAATCACCTTCGTTGACTCACGATCCCTCGATCAGGTTGAAATGAGAGTGGGAACGATACGAACGTTCGTAGTTCTAGCAACTGCTTTATTTGCAGTCCGACTACATGTGAGTAATTCATATCAATATTTTTCAGAATTTATATTTTTACTCAGGAACTTCCGAACTATGCTCCTGTCTGATTTTGGCGCCAGTTAAAGAGTAGTTCCACCAGCTAGAGACACGGTTGAGTCCGCTGATATTGTGGTTAGAGCAACCATACCTCTGTCTGGTGTAACTCTAGCACAAAAATCAGTCAAGAGTGTAGTTGGGATCGTGATTCATTTTTTTCAATGTATGATCAAAAATTTCACACATATTTTTATGGATTATCTTACAAAATCAGAAAAATTTCGTACAAAAATCATAGGAAGACATATACAGCGAGAAAGCGAACATGTTGAATATGGGTTCTTAGGGCCCAAAAGCCAGACAACCTCTAACACAAAAAATGTCACTGCTAATCTTCAGATTCCAACATCAGACCAAGATGGCCAAGAATGTTCATCAATGAGGTCTCTCTGCATAAATGAGTAAATTTATCTTAACCAACGACGGGTTGAAACAATTGTAATGATAAACCGCTGGATAATTTGAATTCACAGGTTAGCTGCCCTTTTGGGCCTTAAAAGCTCCATGACGTGCACCGTGCTAAGGAAAAGCGCCTTATGAACATTTCAGAGTTGCTAAATTTCCTACGATGAAATGTTAATTTTTGAAGAAAGTTTTGAATATTTTCCTTGAAATCTTCATTGTGGATCCGATAAAGAGAGAAACTCTCTGAAAAAGTAGAGGACAAATATTTTCAAATATTCCCGAAAATCCGTGATTTATCAATGGAAATTTGAAAACGCCTGAAGGTTCGTAAGGCGTTTTTTCTGATACCATCAGTCTTTTGCAGGGTGGGAAAATGTCATGAAAAATAAAATCATGAAATTTCAGAAAGTTATGAAAGATAATACCGGTTCTTTTTAATGTTTCATAAAATGTAAAAATTTTGACTTTCTTCTATTTTCGTGAGTTTGAGTGTTGGTTGCATATTGTTGCCCCTGAAAAATATGAGATATTTCACAACCTCGTGAAATTTTATGAAATATCTCCCTGAAATTTCCAATATTTCATTTCTTTCTTACGTTTCATGCCACCATGGTCCTTTGATAAATTGATACGGGCATTAGCTTGAGTGTGTGTGTGTGTTTTAATTACCTAACCGTTCCTTCTACTGCGCCAGGGAGCACAACGTAGCATTCGGACTTTAATCCAAGCGCATGCCAAAGTGGATCCATGTAAATTTTCTATTCCGCAATCAGAAAAAGTCGGGGATTGGAAATGCCGAAATGCCTTCAGTCTACTGGACCGACTGCCCCCGGAAGAAATCCCCATCCCCTGTCAGAAACTCATGCGACGCGAAGACGGCGGTCCACATTGTCGTGATTCACCCGAGGGGATGAAGAAGTGCAGTGTCAAAGGCGGCGTGCTTTTCCTCCAAAGACTCCTCCAACCGGAAATGTGGGAACTTGGTGAGAGAGACCAATTCGTGACTTTCTCCTACTGTATTATGTTTTTGAGACACCGTGAACCTGACGTCCCTCTCTCAAGGACGACTGATCTTGTTCAGAATTAGTAAGTATCCGCCTATAGATAGAGATTGACAAAAATGAGTCAAATCCCATAAAATAAAAAATGAACAAGAAAATAAAAAATGGAAAATGGATTAATCAAAAAAATAAATAAAATAAAAAATGAATAAAACAAAAACTAAAGAAAATAAAGAAAAAAAATAAAATTCAAAAAATAATTGAAATAAATAAATTTCATCAATACATTAAATAAATAAAATAAATTAAATTAATGAAATAAAATACATTTATAAAATAAAGTAAATAAATAAATTAATAAAATAAATTCAACAAATAAAATTAATATATAAAAAGAGATACCCGAGTAACATTTTTCAACGGAAAAATCGCGATATTTTGAGAGAAAGTTGCGATTTTTTCACGATTGTTTGGCGATAAGATCGCAAGGATCATCTGAGCGATTAACCTCAATCTTGTCACAAATTGTATCGCTACATGAAATTCCGTTCGATAAAATCGAAATTTTATCTCAATTCCTAACACAATTTCTTGTTCCATGATATTGCAATGAATGGCAGTCGATAAAATCGCGATTTTATTGCAAATTTATGCGATAAAATCGCAATTTATCACATTCTCTCCCCCCCCTCCCCCCATAAAATGTTGGCATAAATCGACGTCGCTAAAATCGCAATACATTCTCCGACTAAATCGCTACTTATCGTGATCTCTGCTACTTGGATAATATGGGGGTATTATATTCCGTAGACTAAATGAGTGTGATGTTCACTAGTTTCCAAATTGGTTACTTTGTGCTCCTCATGATACATGGTATCACTACTTGCAAGTGCTAATGTGTGTTCTTGATAAAGAATAATAGTAGTATGGGATTCAGATATGTCGCGTAGAATCTTCCGTCATGTAGTGAAACAATGGTATGATGCTGAATTTTAAAACCTCAACTTTTCCTTGAAGCTCCATTAAGAATGTTTATTCACTCTGAAATGGGCTAAAATTGCATCATCTCAATTTATTTATTTTTCATTGGCTCTTTCAGTTTGTACCCTTCATCTGGTGGAATCGTTCATAGAACCGTAACAAGAACAGGAAAGCAGTTGGCAAAGATCCATTCAAGAGCACTTCAGGCAACAGAAGGAATGAAATGAGCTTTCATCAAATTGTATTATCAAGTATATTTGAATATTTTATGCACTTAAGGGCGTTTTTCTTCTTTATTCATGATTTTTTACGGGAATAGGAATTTAAGTCCAAAAAGATCAAACTTTAGCTATCAGTATCAGAACATAGTGAGGTATTCTTTAAAAATTTTGGAACAAAAGATGAACAATGATGTCAAACAAAACCTGAGTTAGAGTGTCTGCGGTTTGCAGCTTAAAAAACATAGCTTTTTGAGCTGCAAACCGTTCGCAACCTACTTGAACCTGTACGTAAAACACAAACTGTTTATTTTAAAACTTAGACTATCAGCTTGGCCGATAATTGATTTACAACGTGAAAATATGTTTTTACTGTTTTCCGTGCTTCAAATCCTCCTCCCTCAGACTTCCTGAATTACGGACCAACCAAGGAGTAACGGCGTGTGTTAATCCTCTTGATTTATTACAATCTAACATTCATATTTATTTATTTTTAAGTGATACTTTGTACATCAAAATAATACAGCGTATAAATCTCTCGCGCTTTTCTCGAAGAGATACTCACTCCTCCAACAGAAAGTTCGGTTTGAACCGTGCTCATTCCTACACACCTGAAACCTGCAGCCCGTGGCGATTCTTAAAGTTGGCAACACTGTTGTTTTCCATTTATTTATATTGAAAATATCGATTTTAGGTGAGGCAAGCTGCCTCTCAAAGATTCGATTGTTTTAAATACATTTAAATGGAGGAAAAGCAGTGTTGCCAATGTTCAAGATTTGCCACTACCTTGAGCTCAGTAATTAACTGACTTGAAGGCGACGTTGAGGGATTGGGGCTTAGAATTTAGGCCAGAACCAGGCAATTTATATACCCACCATCGAGAAATCTAAAACCCGGGTTTAACGAGATACCGAGATACCCCCTGTCTTGGGCCTCCGTGTGACAGAGATGATTTGAATTCTTATCCCCGTGAGCGTCGCATGAGGTGGGATGATTCTGGCACCCCGCCGTTTTAATTTCGTGTGTTCTTACGAAATTATCTGTATGCGAGTGCGTAAAATATGATGCGACCGAACGGAATATGGTGTGGTGCAAGTGGATTCTCGTCCCATTCTCGGAGAATCGATTAATAATTTTTGGCGTCAACTAATTGAGTAAATAATCCCTCTCGAAAGTTCACTCCGTAAATAAAGATAGATGGATCAAACAAAATATTTTATCTTGCTCTGAAGTTTCGATATCTGACCTTTTTCTAACTTTTTTTCTTGTTTTCTTGTTTTCCTTTTTTCCTTTTTTCCTTTTTTCCTTTCTTCCTTTTTTCCTTTTTTCCTTTATTTTTTTTCCTTTTTTCCTTTAATTCCTTTTTTCCTTTATTCTTTCTTTCCTTTTTTCCTTTAATACTGCCTTCTTTAGAGGTGTAAATGGCCTTAGATGCTAAAGCACCGCTTTAAAATAAAATTATTTTACTACTACTACTACCCTTTTTTCCTTTTTTCCTTTTTTCCTTTATTCCATTTTTCTTTTTTTCTTTTTTCCTTTTTTTCTTGCAATAGGTTGGCCTTGGAAAAAAAAATGAGCGCAGTCACGCAAAGCTCAAGGTGATTCGACGGACGCCATATTTTATGCCAGAACGGCATGCGATATATCGCATCAATTGGTTCCATTTTTTCAGCTACTCATCATTTTTCTCCAATTTTGAAATCGCAATTCTGTTGTCAGGAGACTGAAGCACTCACTTACCAATTTTAACAAAAAAATTCAACGTAATAAAGGCGTGGTTTTTTCAGAGAGAAAATATCGCATTCGAGTGCAGTTTCGATATCAGTATCGAATGCGATGTTTTCTCTCTGAAAAAACCACGCCTTTATTACGTTGAATTTCTTTGTTAAAATTGGTAAGTGAGTGCTTTAGTCTCCTGACAATTGCGATCTCAAAATTGGAGAAAAATGACGAGTAGCTGGAAAAATGGAACAAATGGGCCTGTTGCCTGCAAGAGACACAGCCGTGCGAATAGACTTTTTAGAGGTTAAATGACATGAAAATTACGATGGTCACATTAAAAAAGTCTGAAATACACTCCTTACTGCGCAATTTGCGTTGTTAGGAGCGCGCTTTTTCAAATTTCCCGCGTCGGGGGGCAGTTTTCTTACGGAAACAATTAACGGCAACTCGCGGCTATTTCCGGTCAACTAAAACTGACAACATAACCTAAAAATCGGAGCTCGTGATATCGTGAAATGAAATGTAGAGGGATTGCGTTAGATATTTAAAAGTTGATCGATTTGGTGACCGCATAAAGCGTATATGGACCACTATAAGAGATAACGTTGGGTTTGTGAACAAACTGAAGGAAAAAATAACAACAACAACAACAACGACTCGGCATCTTCCGGAAATCACCGAGCCCGCCGTTTGCTCGTTTCCGGTGATTAAAAAACTGCCCCCAGACGCGGGAAATTTGAAAAAGCGCGTTCCTAACAACGCAAATTGCGCAGTAAGGAGTGTATTTCAGACTTTTTTAATGTGACCATCGTAATTTTCGTGTCATTTAACCTCTATAAAGTCTATTCGCGCGGCTGTATCTCTTGCATGCAACAGGCCCATTGATGCGATATATCGCATGCCGTTCTGACACAAAATATGGCGTCCATCGAATCACCTTAAACACGGGTTATATCTTGTGAGCTCTTGTCAAAAATGAAAAAAAGGTATATCCACTTCATAACCCACATCTAATGTAGGCGATGGTTGGACCTATTGCCAAATAATGTCCACTTGACGTTAGCCTTCAATTTCATCGCATAGGCAACACGTATACCGTGGACCGCGAATTGTTATCTATTCGAGTAACACATTTATATGGATCCATTAACTTTGACGGAACCGATGAACGATGCCGTTGACCTGTTGGTAGGTATCGTATATCTAGAGTTCACATTCAATTTCGCTCCGCAGGCAATAAACCCTCCTACATGTTCGTGTAGCAGGACACAAACTACAAAATTCTAAGGAAAGATCTCTAAGATGATCCATTTCTTCAAGTTTCATAATTTTCTTTTCAAAATTTCAAAACTTTGGGGGGTAACTCCTCCCTAGAGACCTTCAGAATTTAATTTTATAGGATGCGATAAAAAGTAATATTTAGTGGTAGAATAAACAACCTGCACGAAACATTTTATTGCTGCATCTGAGTGTGCCTAGTGAGCTGCGTCCGTAGTATTTTTCATGATTCTAATTTCTGATATGAGAAATTGTAGGACAATAGTTTAAAAGTGAGATAATTTGCCGCCTTATAACGTCATTAGGCGGCATTTCCTTTTCAAACACACGCATTTCAACAGATTCGGTAATTCGGTCGTTTAAAAATGGTTCACTTTGTGAACCAAGGGTACTCTCTTGCTCAGTTCACTCAGTAATTTCTTCTTGAAAGTAAAATTCAGAAAATTTCAGACACCTGCGAATGCTCCACTATCCCAGTTCCGTCCAAAATGCCCATAAGCCTTTTCGAGCCTAGACGCTTCATCAAACTTGAAAAAAACCTTCGACTGAAAAAAAGTAAGTCAGCACTTTTTTACTCCACAGGAGACCTTACTTCCCTCTCATAGGCCCAGAAAGAAGGGCGATAACAGAACTCTCGGCATGCGAGAGATTGTGCTTTCAAATTCCATTCATAGACACGCGTCTATACCGCATCGTAATCTCGTTGCGTGACATAGATGGGGTCCTGTCGATAGAGATTGTCAAGCTGGATCCTCGCTCAGAGGTGGAGAGTTGGATCGGATCCCCTCACCTCCCACGGAGGTCCAAGATTTCGAGCGGTGATATTATTCATATGTTGTAATTGGATTTTTTATCATTAAGTCTCTGTAATCCTCGATGAAGTGGTGCTCCAGTATACTCAAACTTTCATGACCGGATTCCGCGCTGGGATGGATTGATGGATGGATTTGAACAGGGGTTTATATACGACCCATCGCTTTTTTCAGTGCATAGATCTTCATATTGTCATCCAAGCATCGATGAAGGGTGAAAAATGATTGGTAAGGCCACTCACACCTGGAAAACGGAAGGATTGAGGGGCTTGGAGGACAGGGCGCATAAGTGCAGTTTTTGAAGGGAAAAAATGAGATATTCATGATTTCTAGTAAAACTAAGTTTGCGATAAATTCTACGAAAAACTCACTGGTGAATTCCAATTTTTAAGCATCAAAAAGTCAGTCTGAACTTTTCAATTCTCAATTTCTTGAAAATTTCTTCTATTTTTCTTCTAAGTTTGCAGAATATTCTGTATAAATTTTAAGTAATTTTGGCTTGATACTCTTCAGATAAATAAAACGGAAGCGGACATTTTGAAACACCGCAATGAAGATAGGTGGTTTCGTACTTTAGCCACCGATTTTTTATCATAATCGCGGGCGAATGCTCAAGATGTGTTGGCTATCTCTAGAACGACCCACTGTATTCAAATTTCCGAATTTCGGTCAAAGTTTTCTCTATCACAAGTTGGAGGTTGGATTGTACGCGGGGGGGGGGGGGTCTTTTTTACGTCTGCGCACTCAGTATCTCAGACCACGTGCGCAAATTGCTTTCAACGATCGCTCATCCGACCAAATTGTATGACTGTGTGTCCCGTCAAATATGACCCCTTCACTCGTAAAGATACCGTTTTTCAATGTTCTCATTCGCATTGCGGAATGGATTTTACCGTTCAGCAGTTGGCAACTACGGAGGTAAAAAAAAGCGCGGCGTGAGACGAACGGATTCGAGCGAGATGAGACGTTTGGACGTTTGCATTGCGTTTCCGAAACGTCGTTTGAGGTCCAGCTAGCGGCATCTTACAGTGTTGCCAAATTAAAGCACTGCGAACTGTTTCCACGATGTCGTCAGTCATATTCATGTGGAGTTGTCGATCCTCGTTTTTTTTAAACTTGGTGCATTTGACTGAATCAAGTGGACCATTCTTAACAGGGCCAGAATTAACGCACCACAAGATGTCTATTGTCCTTATGAGGATTTCACGTAGAACACACCTAACATTTTGACAAATTCTATTTTCAAGT